GGGGGGGGGGGGGGGGGTTGACAACGGTAACATCGTTGTCTTTAAGAGCGGTATTTTGCAGGATCTTTTGAAAAGAATGGTCTATAGGTGTTTACAGAGTTTAAAGGTGTTGTCAGGGCATCATATGTTTTGGAAGCGGTTTGTCAGGGTTCTGCGGTTGGGTTTAGGGTGTAGGAATCTAGGGGTGCGAGTGCCGAACCTCGGCTTTAATCTGCGATGATCAAATGCATCGGGCCAGACTGTAAGACATGGATCCTAGGATTTGTTGATCTTTTCGGGACTTCAGTGCCATCGAGTGAAGGGACGCGCTGAACCCGAAAATCGCATGCCTAAACTTATGCCGTAAGTTCCAAACCTTAGGTCCTGAACCCTAAAACCCTACAGTAGTTCAACAATGCCTAAACTTATGCCGTAAGTTCCGAACCTTAAACCCTGAACCCTACAACCCTACAGTAGTTCAACAAGTCTGCTTGGTTGTGAGACGAAGGCGCCGACTGTTACACGCGCCCGCGCCGGGACAGCCTCATGCCCTTTAAGCTCCTCGGCTCGGGACCGTGAGCTTCGCAGTCATTTCTGGGCAGGAGAGGAAAGGACATAAACGTAAGCTTCCGAAACCTAAGCCCCCCATAAGTCGCCACCTTACACTGTGTTATGTTCGCCGTCGTTTGGGTGCCTCCTAGGCTTGGGCCTCAGGAGTTTGGGGTGCAAATTGGGGCCCTTGGGGGCCCTGGGATTCACAGTCTCCTCTAAAGGTCCCAGGATCGAGAGCCCGAAAGACCCCTCAGACTAGCTCTTAAACGCAAGATTCCGAACCTCTTCGGGAACCCGTCTAGGCACCGTTGTTCAAACCTTGACAGTAACCTCTGTAGTGAAGTATAGCAGTGGAAGTGTTGCATCCCGAAACCAGTCTGGCCAGGGCCAGGGGGCTTTGCCTCCATGGGGGGCTCTTCAACTCAGCAACCCCAAAGCCAAGCTCCACGCCACCCCCAAGACCTAATTTCCCCCAAAATGAGGGGCTTGACGTGTTGGGCTTCTCGGCTTTGGGCTTTAGGGCTTTAGGGATACATCCACCCCTCCTCCCTTCAAGCGGGATTCTTTCGAGTTTAGGGTCACTTGAGAGAATCCTCACATGGGGCCAAGAGATGCAGGCATCTTGGAGTCAAGGGTCCCTTTTTTGCTGGGCTTTCTCTCTGCAGCGCGTGGATCAACAAATCGTTTAGGGAACCCAAAACCCTCAGATATAATATAATATAATATGATATGATATAATATAATATTATAGTATAGGTTTTGGGGGGTTTGGGGATGCCCGGCCGCCCCGGACCCAGGCCTTCGCCAGCTGCCCTCGAAGCAGCGAAATCGGCCAGCACCCTAAACAGATCACCTGCGGTTCATCTGCTACAGGGGAGGGGGCTCAGGTGTGTTGTCTTCGGAGTATGTTGGACGTAGTTGCGGGAAGAGCTCCTTGGGCTTGGAGCTTGGGAATTCGAATCCTGCACGTCTGCTCATATCTCTCTCCCGCGAAGCATATCCATTCAAGCACCGCTCGTGCATCCGTGGGTCTCGAGTTTAGGTCATAGCCAAGCGGATAGATCCAGAGGTCGTAGTCAAATCCTTGCGGTCACTGTTGCAAGGGCTCAGAGAGTTCGCCAAGCACGTCACACAAAGCCGACGGTAGGATTCTAGACTTCTACTGGTTCAAAACCAGGTCTCAGTATCTGGGACCCAGCTTACACTGTAGCTGATTTCCTATGGCTTCCGAAGAGCAGCCGGCCAAGAGGCCGAGAGCTGCGCCGGATTTGACCATCGCCGTGGATGATGGGGAGCTGGAGGTGCATTCGATCATCCTGGAGCTGGCGTCTCCCGTCTTCGCGGGCATGCTGAACAGTGATATGAAAGAGGGCCAGGGCAGGAAAATCCACCTGCCCGGTAAGTGCAAAAGTGAGCTGGAGGCGTTCTACAAAGCCCTGCAGCTTTGCACCATGGCGCCTCTAACCCTGGAAAGCGCCGCCATCCTCACCCGGTGGGCTGACGAATACCAGGTCCAGGCTCTGAAAGACAAATGCGAAACATTTCTGATATTGAAGGCACCTGTAGATGGTCCTGCCTTGCAATTTGCAGCGAAGTATGGCCTGCGCAAGCGCATAAAGCAATGCCTCAGTGCCATGAAGTCCAAGGTGCAAGAGCACATTCAGGATCTGCATGTGCTGACCACGAAGGAGTGTCAAGAGTACCTTCCGGAGTTCTGGCCCGTGATCTGCAGCCAAACTGGTGTGGTCATCGACATGCCTCCTGCAGAGCATGTGGCAAGCATGTGGCCGTTTCTGGTCGAAGCTGTTCGAAGTTACACAGCTGGAAAGGGTCCGCAGAGATCTGAGCTCTTTGCCTTTGGATTTGTATCATACTTTGCCAGCTTCAAACCGTGCCGATGCTCGTGGCCGCGACTTCGTGTTTCAGGCGCTCAAGGCCGTCGGCATAGATTCTAGGACATAGATTCCAAGATTCAGGAATCAGTGCACGTGAAAAATCTTCGGCCGAGGCGCTTTAGGGAAGAAAGCTGCGGCTGAGACTGCAACGTTCCTTCTAGGTGTTCTTTGCTTCGGCAATGATTGCTTTCCTGGAGGTCGGACCTAGGAGGCGCAAGACTGCCATGTGAACCTTCTTCTTTGTGCCACGCAAAGAATGCCTGCCGGTGTCAGACAGCACGTCTTGGCTTGCTGCTTCGATTGCCTCTTCTTGCTGCCACTGCTTCTCCTTTTGCTCTCGTTGTCGTTGCCGTCGTCGTGGTCGTCGTGGTCGCGGTCGTTTTCGTCGTGATGGTGATGGTGTTGGTTCTGGTGGTGGTGGTGGTGGTGGTGGTGGCTATGGTCGTGGTTTGCGGTTGCGGTTGCGATTGCGGTTGGGGTTGCGGTTGCAGTTGTTGGTTGGTTGGTTGGTTGGTTGGCCAGCAGGGGGCCGTGTGAAAGGTTCAGCATTCTAACAGAGCCTTTCAAGGCCAATCCTCAACCTGACACCACCGCACACTCGAAACCTTCAAATCCTACAGCCGCCAAGAGCCAAAGCACTAAACCTCAATGAACCGATATACAAAACTCCACAGTGTCCTTTTCAACCCCAAAAGCCCCAAACTCTGCCAAAGCCCCATGAAGCCCGGGTGAAACCTTAAGGGCCAACCTCACTTTGAACCCAAAAAAACCCTGGAACCCATAACTTTCCGTGTACAGTTCTCATGGACCCTAAAGGCCCCAACCCCTCAGACCCTTACCTCATGTAATGTATGTATCTATGTATGTGTGTATGGATACGTAGATAGATAGGTACATAGGTACCTAGATACCTTGGTACATACACACACACACACATACATGCGTACATACATGCATATGTATATATATATATACACACATACATACACACATACATGTAC